GTTAGATTGCAGAGGCGAAACAAGAGAGGCCTTTTCCTGGGTGTAGAAGTGGATCACTAGCACAATAGCCTCATCACATTTTCATTCTATTTGTTTTGCCATTGTTGAGTAAAGCCATTAAAGCTAGCTGTACACCTGGTGAATCACCTTGTACTGGTTTCAAAGAGACATGAAAGATGCTTCCCAAAATCTGACCGTATCGGCTCAGTGTCCTCCTGGTTACCGTGATTGTTGCAGAAGCAATCATGTGAATAATTAGTTGGCGTGATTAATGGAGCTTGAACTGCATTAATTTACCGGAAATGTAGATGTTTGAGAGTTTCACTACCGAATTGTATGAATTAGTGTAACTTACAGTCAAAACAGATCAGTAGAATTCAGTTGAAGGGACATAGTGGGCTTAAAAAGCGAGCCTGCACCTTGGAGGCCTGCATGTGCATCCCCAGTGACAACACTGCTGGAGAAAGTCTTGTTATATACGAGTAGCAGACTCAGACTCAAAGTAATATACTAGATTTAGTTATCAGGTAAGGACAAACACCTGGAAAAAGAACACTTATTACAGTTCTTTGATCCCGTCACTGGCCTTTGGTTAGGCCCTGTATTAAGGTCTATGGCTTTCCTATATGGATGTAACATGAACTGCACTTGATCTAAAACAGGAACCTTAATGCTAAAAAAAAATCGAGTGTTTGAACAGCACTTGATAGCCGAGCTCTCTCTCTCTCTTGTGTCATTGTAAGTTAAATGTATCTGAATTATAGAGTGGTGGTAATCTGGCAGAATAACATTGTCAAGAAGCGTGATTTAACCTTCCGATCCCGACCCACTGCGATCCTGGCCGTTTTTTCACCGACAGCCACACCCACGCTCCCCGTGATTGGTTTTCTGTTTCTCTCAGGCCATGGCGCGGGCTGTGTGGGCGGTCCTCCGGATGCTATCCAGGGAGGGAGCCGCTGTGCTAAAATCAAACGCACCTTGTGCCACCACAGGAGCTTTGCGGCGATCCAGACCTGCGTGCGCAGCTGTTACTACCTGCGGCAGAGCGATATCCAGGTAAGCTGGAAGGACGTAGGTTTCTGAAACAGGCCCAAAATACTGAGTTTAAAAGCCAGCTAACGGTTAAGCTTATTAGCCGTAAACAGGAAGTAACGCTGTTTTTTGGGCTATTGATAGCTGAGTGCCGCAGCGCGTTTGTTTGTATGCTCCGGGTTATCACGGCTACCAACAAAACTCAGGCCAAATTCTGTCTAAAACAAAGTCTTGCTCTTGACATAGCTTTACATAATGGTTAAAGAACACACTGTTATGGTCGTGGCTCAAATCCTCAGTATATTGTCGCCAGTACGGCATGCTTTATATGTTGCAGCAGGGGTATTTAGTAAACTTTTGTCTTAATATAAAAGCTATACAGAACTAGCAAGATACCAACGTTTCATGTGTTTCACTGTTTCAAAGAGCGTTTCTTGATCATTTCACGGAGTCTCTTGATTTTGGATTTTCAGTGTCATTGCTATACAATATTCCTTGAGTGTGAATATTGAATCCTAAACTTGGAATAAAACGCAAGGTCCACTTTCTAGAGCTTTCAGAAGCACCTCACAATAATCCTGTTTTCATCTACTGTAAAACTACACAACAAAATACAACGGTGAAGCCTGTCATTCAAATGAAAAGTGCCATTTAAAAACCAACACTGATAAATTGGTGAATCATGAACTGTTTGCTACCCTGTGCACTGCAGTAAAGTCAGACACCTGCAGTCTGCAGCCAGAATGCCCGAAGTAACCACCGATCACCTGGATGAGAAGCAGGTGCAGCTTCTGTCCGAGATGTGCATCCTCATCGACGAGAACGACCTCAAGATCGGAGCGGACACTAAGAAAAACTGCCACCTCAACTCCAACATCGACAAAGGTGCCTGTCTTCCACATTAGGATCCACACAGATCCACACAGGTATTGTTCTGCATCACTCATTTCTATGCATGTTGTTTGTTCTTGCCAACAGGTTTGCTGCACAGAGCTTTCAGCGTCTTTATTTTCAACAGCGAGGAGAAGCTGCTTTTACAGCAGAGGTCTGATGCCAAAATCACTTTTCCAGGTCGGTCTCACTATTTTTAAATTCTCCTGCGGTCCCCTCAGAGGCTAAGCAGTATTTATAGGTTTTAACAATCCTCTGTGTCTGTGTGTGTGGTTTTTTTTTTTTGTGCAGGCTGCTTCACAAACACATGCTGTAGTCATCCTCTACACACAGACAGTGAGCTGGAGGAGAAGGATGCGTTGGGGGTGAGAAGAGCTGCTCAGAGGAGACTCGGCGCAGAGCTCGGTATTCCCATGGAGCAGGTGTGTGTTTCAATTCTGATTTCCACCCACACTGGAAGAGGATTACTAAGGATTGTGGCAAATCTTTGCTTGTCTGTGATCTCCGCTTTCCGGTTTCTCCTCAGGTGACTCCAGATGAAATGACATACCTAACAAGAATCCATTACAAGGCCCAGTCCGATGGGGTTTGGGGAGAACATGAGATTGACTACATCCTTTTTGTGCAGAAGGTAGTGCTGTAGTATCTGTTAGATACAAATGCAGTGGATGTAAATGGTGTGCATGACCCTCAAAGCTTTTCCCATGTTATGTGCATACAACCTGCACAGTTCAGTTGAAAAACATTCAAATCTGTAATGGGAAAAAATCTAAAAGACAAAAAATGGACAATAGGCTGCTTGCATAAGCATGCACACATTTAAACTAAAACTTTGTTGAAGCAACTTTTTATTTAATTACAGCATTTACCCTTTTTGGGTAAGAATCCATCAGCATGGCACATCTTGACTTGGCTACATTTGCCCACTCGTCCTTGTAAAAGTGCTCCAGCTGTCAGATTGTGAGGTCATCTCCTGTGCAAAACTTTCACTAAAAGAAAATATTTCTTATCTTGATCTGGATATATGCTTGGGGTCATTGGAGGTGAAAGTCCTCTTCATCTTCAGCTTTCAAGCAGATGACTGAAGGTTTTGAGCCAAAAGCGACTGGTGTTCATAATTCCCTCCACCTCGACTAAAGCTCCAGTTCCAGCTGATAAAAATCAACTTCAAAGCGTGATACCGCCACCACCATGGCAACATGCTTTTGAGAGACTTTAGCATTTTTTAAAAAAAATTTTTTTGCAAATTGTGCCTGGGCTTGGATGTCTTTCTTGGTCAGAGAAGGCTTCCATCTTGAAACCCTGCCCCATAGTCCACACATATGACAACATCCTGTATGTTGTCATATGTAGCACACAACCAGTACATGCCAGAAATACCTGCACATCCTTCAGTATTGCTGTAGGTATCTTGGCAGCCTCCCTTATTGTACGTTTTTAATTATTCATATTTTTCCACACAACAGATCTGTTTGTTTTTCAGTTGAATTGTGCAGAGGTCGAAAGTCGTGTTAATGGTGGGAAAAGATTTGAAATAATTTTTTTGTGGTCTTGTTTTTTTTAACATCATAAAAACCTGGCATTTTAACAGGGATGTGTACACTTTTATATCCACTGTACTCAGTGATTTTTGTTTTAACCTGAAAGGCTAAATCTACCTTGCACAGTGTGCAGGCTTGATGTGACAGCTTCAGTTCACCTGTGTAAGTAACAAGCCTTGGCCTGAGTTTACCTCTGAGTAAATGAGTTCTGCGGATTTAAAAGAATGGCTTCATTTAGGAATATGCTTCATGTACACAGGATGTAATCATTAAGCTCTTCAGACTAACTTGTGGCCACTCTGCAGGACACTGATGTGAGGTGGACCTGCCTCAGGTGAAACTGCTCTAATGTGTGTGTTTGTGACTGGCATGCAAAAATTAAAATGCACATATATTAGGTGCATGTTAGCTCAGTGAGTCACTGACCACAATCATACAACTGAATATTATCACCTTAAATTTTAAGGTGTTCTACAGATACGGATACAATTCCATGATGATTTAAAGTTAAGCTCACATTAAACATGTCCGGTTTTTCCTATAATGAGGTCAGCGTATGTGCAAGTAATGGCTCATAACTCTGTATCATATAGAGAGCATCCCTAATGTGGTCTCAAAGGCATACAGCTCTGGGTATGAGCACAGAGGCCTCATGTTTACAAGGTGCAGGCAATATGAGAGAGTACCGGCTTAGAGGAAGCAGGAATGGAGCAAAAAACATGATTACTCCTGAGCAAATTAACTTTACAGACAGCTGTTAGTGTGTATCTGGATTTCATTTGTCTGTGAGTCTGCCTTTTGTCTATCAGTCATGCATCAAAGACAATCCTTTCTTATGCCTCTCCACAGGACGTGGACTTGAATCCAGACCCCAATGAGATCAAAAGCCACTGTTATGTGAGCAAAGAGGAGCTGAAGGAGATGTTGGAGAAGGCCAAGCGCAAAGAACTGGAGATCACGCCCTGGTTCAGTCTCATTGCAGAGACCTTCCTCTTCACGTGGTGGGACAACCTGCAGAACCTCAAACAGTTCATGGATCACCACAAAATCCACCGAATGTAATTATATCCAGATCCGGCTCCTCTTCCAGCATTTCAAGCTCTTTGATTTATGCAGAACTGACATAAAAAATACAGTCGGCTGAACTGCTGGAGAACTGAAAATAAACCTCCACTCAAGATGTGAGGTTTCCACTAGCTACTTTGGAGAAGGTGTAGAGCTTCAGCACTGTAACGCAAAGTAAAGAATGTCTTAGTCATGTGATCTATAAGGTGATTTATGTAGGTTTGTAGCACTGAGATGCATCCATCTTCACTGTAGATCAGACGTTTGCTGTAGTGCTCACGTGTCATCTTTCAGGCAATAGTTCAGATAAGCTGGGTTCACAGCCTGAGCAGAAGGTGATGTCAGCAGGAAATGTGACACTAAATAAGAACAGCTCCACAAAGGCAGTAACCTATTTTTATATAATAATGTGAAGTGCCTGATTATAGGTCGTTAGCCTGAGGGGATTAGTATCTCTAAGTCACAACTGCTATCACTCTGCATTGTTGACAGTGACATCAGTGAACAAGCTGTATCTTTGTACACTTTTACACAATAAAGTATTTGTGTGATCTTTGCACGAGCATTTATTTTTGAATTTTAGTCTCAATTGATTGATTCACTAATAGCTGAATAATACCTTGACTGATATTATGTGGTAATAATTTCGGTAAGTTGTACAGCTTCTATCAAGTCAAGCTTTTTGAAACCAGACCTCAACTGAGAGGCCAAGGGAGAAATTATACGGTGGTGATTTGGCAATATCATGGGAGATCTGCCCTTAAGTATACTTTGCTTTATCATTTCTTTGCCTCACGGGGGGAACTCACAAAATGAATGTGTTATTCATTAAGACTTAAATCTAGAGAAAGCTGATATGTGAATATTTTTTTTTAGCTGAAATCCTGTAATTGGTGATTCTTGAATCATATTTACTTTGTGGACAGAAAAACACCTTCGTAGACTTTTCTTAATGTGGAACTTTTGTGGAATATTTCAACACTGAATTATCTGCTTTTAGTTTTTAGTTTAGTATTTAACAACTGAAAACATTATGGCAACACTGGGAAGACAAATCATTAGGATTGCGTTGTCAGAGGTGTACGTGTTACCGTCTTAGTCCTCTTTCTGTAGGAAAACTTCAAAAAGCTGACTCAGTTCTTGTCTGAGGTACAGACCAGGAATAACGGAAATACGATCCTCCCACCCACCAGGGAATCGCTCCCAGCTGTAGGTTCCCCTCCTCCTGCTGAACTCAAAGAGCAGCAAAAAAACAGTCTAATGTAGCATCACTCAATATTTCTGTGATTCTTTAAATAGGTTTAAAAGATCATTCTTATAACTTTATTCTACAAAACACCTAAACTCCTCCGCATGGTGGGAAGTTACATTCAAACTCTTAAAGAGAAGCAGCAGGTAACGCATAGCTCCGAAATCCTCACCACACAGGAAGTGGTGACAGAAGTAGTTCCCTGCATCCTGCAGGGCTTCTGGGAGCTTCCTCCTCGCCCTCTCTTGAGCATGGCCTCCTAGAGTCTGAGCAACTCTCCACCAGTGTCACAAAGGCCATACAGACACTCATTATAAGCTCTGAATTGGGTGGGGGAAAAAGCATGAATCTTAAACTGGAACTGAAGAAAAATGATAAAAGATATTGAAAAGAAACTCAAGCTGAATAGCACGATGTCTTGGCTTGAATGTTTTGGGGGGGGTTTTGTACAGAGGAACATTCACATGAGACATAACAAGAAAGACAGGACTGTAAAGGACAGAATAGATGGGGCATAGACAGCTAGGTACTGGGGTGCAATCAATGGAAAATTGATAGCAATAAACTTTATCCTAATATATATGTTCAGCTGCAAACAAACAGAAACATGGACACATTTATATGTATATACATGAATACATTCTCAAATATAAACATACATATGTGCCTGTGCACACGCACACACCCATGCATTTATAAACATATTTCTTCAGTATACACATGTATACTGTGGGCATTAGAAAGAATGCATTTTAAGGGCACTTCCCACTGGCTTTAGTTTGCAGAGTGGATCAACATCCTAAACTAAGCTGTGGAATTAACATAACACTAACATTAGTAGCAACAGAAATGGCTTCAACTTTACTGTGTGCATGAGAAATAAACAGTTTCTAGTTCTTTGTAAGGGTTAAATGATGTTCTGATTTAATTTGTTTGAATAAAATAGGCTTTATTTGCATGCTTAATGCACAATGAAGGCACAGTTCCCACTTCTTTCAGACCACAAAGCAGATGAAACGTGATACATTTGTTTCATTGTAAAACCATATAAAAACAAAAAGGTAAAAACATACATGTACATGATTAGGACCTGACCCATTTATCACCCGAACAATGTTAGCTGTTTGCCAATCCTTCAGTATCAGGTAAAGAAGTTACGGTAGATATGCCCTTGAAACATGCAGCTTCCCTGTTGGCAGCGCGTATGTTTGGAAAGCCACAAAGCAAGCAAAGGTGGGCAGAGTAAACAAGGTAAGAGGAGAAAAAACAAAAAAGTCTGCCTATATATCAAAGTATCAGATTATTAAACTCACCAAATATTGTTATCGATCTTAAAAACTACTGTATCAGTCAGACTCTATATATGACTAACGATCAGTCCTGAGTTTGGCTTCTACTGTGCGAGCATGTTTAATACTGATTTATGTTCCTCTTAGTTGTTGGTCCAGTTGAAGGAATGATCCCGTGGTAACTTTGCTAATCTTCATCCACGTGATAAAGTATCCTAAATGTAGCTGACACAAAACTAGAAACTGGCATTAACATTCCAGTTATCACAACATCATTTCAGAATAATACTCTGGGTTTGGCATTTCATTCTAACTAAACAGAATAATATAATGTTTTGCAATAAACGTGCAATAATGCCAAAAACAACAAGAATAAACATGTGGTATGATGCTATCAAAAGATAATCTATATTATTTTACATTTTACCTCCATCCATCCATTTTTTCCCACTTATCTGGGGCCGGCTCGTGGGGGCAGCAGCCTAAGCAGAGAAGCCCAGAACTCCCTATTCTACATTTTACCTAATTTTTATAATTTGGTTCTGGAGCCAACAAACACGCATTAAAAAAAAATAAATCTATCACACTGCTTTGCAGTGTTTTATCTTGTAAATCTGAATATCCTGTTATTCAGTAAATATTACATTAACACTAAAGCCTTAAATCTTAGTGTGGGTTATCTTGCAGTTGCTTTAGAATTCACTGTAATCTCAAAAGCACCGAGCCTGTTTTAGCATCTAAAAGCAATAACAGATTATTCAACCTAGGAGAGTGATTGTGTAGGATGTGTGTTTTCTTTTATGTCAGTGTGGTGATTGCATAATGTGAGGAAGCTATGAGGTGATCTATAGTAGTTGGAGATGAGATGAGTCTGCTACACAGTGCCTGCAGGGTTGGTTGCAGGGTTGGTTGCAGGGTTGGTTGCAGGGTTGGTTGCAGGGTTCGAGTTGGGTGGACTCAGTTTCATGGTATTAAAAAAATCCACCAGCTGACCTGGTACTTCAGCCAGCACGGTCTTTGCCAGCGCTTCCTTCGGTGCCTGAAGAGCAAAAAGAGTCAAGTCAAAAACAGTGAAGAGGAAAATAATTCTACATGTCTTTAACTGATTCCTTGCGCGAGTATTGAACACAGCAAGGAGAGAGTCGTGGAAATGAAGAGAGCTTAAAGGAAAATTCCACACATTTTAATAAACAGTGCATTTCAGATGTTATCTTGACACTTTCTGAGGCTGTAATTATGTCAAACTCCAGCAGAGATGATTATACTTTTGAGGCCGGTGGTAGATAAACATTAATCAAAACCTACTAAAACACTCCTGGACCGATCAAAGATGTGCTCAACTGCTTATCACTTTAACAACAAAGTGCCGCTTTAACAGCGTTACGTAAATAGAGGAATTTTCCTTTAATATAAGTCAGAGCCTTTAACCAGAGCCACAGATCCTCAGTCAGACAGTACGACAGACTTTGTTGTACCAGACTGATGATGAATCGCATGCAGTGATTCATTGCTGCAGTTTTTCGTGCAGGTGAAGGAGAAGTTAGATGAAAGCAGGGTTTATGACTTAAGATTTCTGAGGTACCCCTATGAAGGACTAGGATCTTGGGGAGGCTTCAGTTTCAATGAACTGAAGAAGGAGGTCACTTGCTGAGGTAACTCGGCCAATACGCTTTGGGCAAGAGCCTGGCTGGGCGCCTGAAAAGAAATGGATAAAACAAAGCAAAGAGATAAGCTAAAGCTGTTTTCACACATGCACTGTAGCTCTGCATGTTTCCAGACATTACACAGGTTGTGGTAATGCATGTGTCTCAGTCAGACTGGACATTAAACAGCCGTCAGCCTCCCGGCTCTCTTTTAACAACGCACTCATGTGGGAAGAGCCCATGAAACCTCCTCTCCTACACCAAACAGCATATTTCACTGGCATGAAATGTAAGGCTCCAGTGAGGCAGCCCATAGAGTGGACTACACGAAGCAGAGACCCAGCATTAGCACAACCAACTTGGGACTTACATGGTGTAAGTGTGGGTTTGCCCCACCTACACAACCCCACAGTTCACCCACACTTTCCCACTGTGGGCCCACATGGGCATTGTTGGACATTCTCTGGTTGTCCTAACATGTTTCCCGCAACATTTCATGTGTGAAAACAGCTTAGATGATTTTTAGGCTGAGGCGCAGGCAATCCCTCACTTTGGATATATATGACTAACTGGTATTGGCTCGAGAAACACTCTGCTCCGTTTAGTTTGTAATTTTAATGTCAGCTTAGAAAAAAAACAAAAAACAAAGTACATGCAATGAGGACAGAAAAATCAGGGGGACACCCAAAGCTAACAGCATCCAGAAACCTGGTACATATAGATATATAACAAAAACTTGATGTTTTTACTGTCACTTACATTTTGAAACTGCCTGAATGGTACAAACTGGACAATGTCTCTCATGGCAGCCTCGCCAGTGAGAGAGCGCAGGCAACCATCGTCTCCATCCAGGAACTCCATGGCACTGAAGTCCGCCCCTCCGACCCCGACGATGATGATAGACATGGGCAGGCGAGATGCGTTGACGATAGCGTTGCGCGTCTCGTCCATGTCCGTGATCACTCCATCAGTGATGATCAGGAGAACAAAATATTGCTACAAGAAGACAACAACAACAAAAACACAACTATTACAGCAACATGTAAGCAAGAAGCTTTTGAATCCTCATCAAAACTCTGATATTCGCTCAGTTCTACTGCTTAGTGCCCCTCGAGCATCAGAAAGCCCCATCCCCCGTTATCCTGTAGCTTTGGATCAAGCTATTATCAAATCACCTGCTTCAATGTGAAGATTATACAACCATTACACTGACAGGACTGCCCGAACCAAATGTTTACTGAGAGTATAAATGAGGTAGTGAATTCATAACCCACTTTTTTCTTATTAACAGGACAGCATGTGGCCATGATGTAAGATTAATTATTTTCCCAAATACAGTATCCAATAATGGCTTACAAATTCCAAGAGATATTGCAAACACTTGCAGTTTTTTAGTTTGGGATTTGTGATGTACAAAAAACAAACAAACATGTAGAGTTGAGATATTTTTGAGTTTGCCTGCTCCAAAAGCAAATGTTTTTGCAAGGTTTTCAAGTTGAGTGCTAAGACTTATGATCACATTATGATCATATTATGATTATGATTATGAACACATTATAATCTTACTAGAACCGGTGACTAAACATATGAATTTGTAGACTGCACTACTCATGACATTACTAATATCTCTTATTCTTCAGTGCAGGCTCATATCCCATGTGGAATATTGCAAATGCTCACAGAGTTGTATAGTAAAAGGTAACCTACTAGGCTCATATCCTTCTACTCCATAATGTTGGAGTTTGCATTATTCACAGCATAGAACAACCCCTATTTATCTCATACCAGCCCTTGGTGCAGTCCCTCAGTTCATCCACTGGGTGGGGTTGTATGTTAAGCACGCATCAATCTCTTATTTTGTCAATTGTAGATGGTCCGCATGTTAAAGCATTAAATTAAATTTCAAATATGAAACTGAAAGCCCTTGCCTACAGTGAGGGAGCTGAAGAGGTGAAATACTCACAGCTGCAGTGGTCTGCTGGAGGGCTTGCTTTGCAAAGTGGGCCACGTGGTTGATAATCGGGGAGAAATTAGTGGGACCGTACAGTTTGACTTGCGGCAGGCAGCTTCTGTAGGCTTCAACCACACCTTCAATACCTACACACACCCATACAGACACCATTGATTAAACACACTACAAACTGAGAACTACAGTGTACTAGGGTGCATGTGTATAGTAAGTAATGAAACATCAGCTCCACTGCATTTATCTGTAAACACACCTGCACAATATGGATTTGATGGGTTGAAATTGAGCGGAAACTCATGGGAAACCTGTCACACAATAGAATATAACAGAGAAAAATCAGCAAATTAGAGCAAACATCACAGGTTCACAGTGTGATCTAACAATGTCACAGCACAATCTACAGTATGGTAACAAACAAAAAACTGTCTTATGTGGTGTGGAAATGTCTCATTCCATATAAACAGAAACTTTACCTGCCATGTGGGTGGAATCTGGGCTCCAAAGCCAAATGCAGGAAACATCTTATCACTAAACATGAAAGACAAACCAAAAGCTTATTTGAATTATGAGCCATAGATTGCATTGCCAATAAGTTGATACAGTTATCAGCCAAGTTAAATGAGTCCCTATCATACAACTCTACTTAAGTAGCTTTAAACATCTCATAGTTTACACTAATAATACCAGGTATGTGAAATATATTCCTACCTGTCATAGTCCTGGATGACATTACCCACTGACCAGATTGCAGTGAGATACTCATTAACACCCTGGGGACTAATGTAATGCAGAGACTGGGGTGACCGAGGATCCCCGTTGGAACCTGTGAAGTCAACGGCCACCTATTGGCAAACATGCAGGTGAAGCTATAGAAAACCTTACTGCAAAGATGAATGAATGAAAACGGGAAAGAAACAAAGAAGACGAGACTCACAGTGAAGTTAATCTGACAGCCTCCCATAATATAATCCAAGAAGGTATACTCCTTCACCACCTGGAACAAATATACTGGTCATCAAGTCAGTTTAAAAAGCAAAAACAAAACAACAACAAAAAACAGTATCACACCTGGCACAGCTTTACGCTCACAACACCAGAGTTCTTGTAGCCTTTCTTCTTCTGTTTCTTTTTACTGTTGATGCATTCAAACTCTGCCTGCAAGAATAAAACCACAGTAAAGGCCACATTCTGTTGCAACTTCAGAGACCAAAGGGCAGTTTTAGCCATCAACTCAAACACAGTGTAGAAATGTTTGAGCTGCCCACATATAGAGATTGAAAATGTGACGTCATTCA